AGTTAGACCTTCAGAGTTAGACCTTCAGAGTTAGACCTTCAGAGTTAGACCTTCAGAGTTAGACCTTTAGAGTTAGACCTTCAGAGTTAGACCTTCAGAGTTAGACCTTCAGAGTTAGACCTTCAGAGTTAGACCTTTAGTTAGACCTTCAGAGTTAGACCTTCAGAGTTAGACCTTCAGAATTAGACCTTCAGAGTTAGACCTTCAGAGTTAGACCACTGTCTGAACACCATCCCCCCTCAACAAACCGTGACCCCCTGCTCTTTGTTTCAACATCACACCACCATCTTCCTGCATGATGTATTTGATGCTATCAAATCCTAGATTGGATCCAGACCTGCAGTCGTGGATCAAATGTCTGTTAAGGTAAGAGAAGGTGTCTCCCCACCAACATAAAGACCCAGCACCTGTCTGTCGTCCATAAAATAGTTTCCCTGCAGAGTGAAGCAAACTGCTGCTGCTGTAATTATCAAACTGTTTAGACTCATTAGACCAGCAGTGTTTGAGGTTATTTCACTGCTCAGTGACTCTCTTTGAAAACTAGTTTCCAAGTTGGCAACAAGAACCCCCTCCAGTCCCCCCTACTCCCTCTGAAAGATCCTAGTGATTAGATCAGTGCACCATGTGGTGAATGTTGTCACTTTTTCTTTGATACCATCCACCGTTTTAGTTGGCCTTTTACCCCATTCTGTTCACTACTTCCTGACTCCATTCATTCTTTTTCACCCTGTTTTTCTGTTTTTGGCACAGATCTATGTGAAGGCCCAGTTCGAGTAYGACCCCTCCAAAGATGAACTTATCCCCTGCAAGGAGGCCGGTATCCATTTCAGAGTGGGCGACATCATCCAGATTATCTCCAAAGATGACCACAACTGGTGGCAGGGAAAGCTGGAGAACACTAAGAATGGCACGGCAGGCCTCATCCCCTCACCAGAGCTGCAGGAGTGGTGAGTGCAGTCTCAATGACCCCTGATGGAAGATGAAGGAAGTTTTATTCTGAAAGGGAACACTAAATAATACTTTGCACCAATGTTCAAAGCAAAGTTGAAAATTTTTCAATACGGCAGACAGAAAGTCACTGAAACAGTAGTAAGGACAGAGWAAATGACTATATGTATAGTTTTAATAAAAACACATGGTCTTATTTCAGATAATGTCAGTTTCAAGTGAACTGATAAAATATAAATCTAGTCAGAAACAAATAGATCTGATGAAGGATCTAATGCTGTTAAACAGAAGAAGCAGAGTTTTTTCTGCTCAGGTTCACTGAGAGCTCATCTACAGGTGCTTCCTGAGCAGCTYACCTGTCCATCACAGAGTCAACAAGTCTTTTTTCTTCATGTTTTATTTACCAAACATWTGACATAAGTCAGGTAGGACTGTGTGAGGATAAACTCTGCTTCCTTGTKACACACAAGGATGGATTTATAAATGAAGTGATTCTAATGTGTGGACAGTGAGGGGTAGTTACAGACCACAGGGGGCAGTAGTGAGTTTTACCTTCTGCTCTAAAACCCTGTGGTAAACAACATCAAAGTGTTGAAATAAACCAAATAATATAAACAAATAACAGGGCATTCACCTCATAAACCTGCATCAACACATGTTCATGTGGTGAGAAGAAGAACACAGTTTCTCCAGTGTGGAATCAGTCAGTCTGTCATCCATCTCATGGTCTTCTGAAGGAACCTGTGGACTAGTGTTTACCTGGATAACTGACACCTGGCTTCAATCTCTGCACCTCTTCAGCCTGGTTTGGCCTTTGTCAAATGGATAAAGCCGGAGTGAACTGATCARGTTATGTCAAGCCTAGATTTCTCTTTTATCCTGGATTTCTAAATCCTGCTTTTGTGAAATGGCCCTCCAGTCAGGACCAGGTTAGTTTCAGATCACTTGTTTACCATGGAGACATAAGTGTTTCCTCTCCCAAACAACCCATTCAAAGCTTCATTAATTCAGGTTTACACCAAAATCCCAGCTTAATCCCCTATCCTAGATCCATGCATTAGGCCTCAGGCCTCAGTGTTAATCTCTCTAAATGCATGAAGGACAATCTGTCCAAGACTTTTAATGAAAACTGTAAAGTAAGTGATAAAGCAGAGGCTTGAGGAGCACGTCTTGTGACAGACAAATCACAAGACATGTGACAACTGGGACAGAGACTGTCTAATAACTGGGACAGAGACAGTCTAATAACTGGGACAGAGACAGTCTAATAACTGGGACAGAGACAGTCTAAGAACTGGGACGGAGACAGATAAGAACTGGGACAGAGACAGTCTTATAACTGGGACGGAGACAGTCTAATAACTGGGACAGAGACAGTCTAAGAACTGGGACAGAGACAGTCTAATAACTGGGACAGAGACAGTCTAATAACTGGGACGGAGACAGTCTAATAACTGGGACAGAGACAGTCTAATAACTGGGACAGAGACAGTCTAAGAACTGGGACAGAGACAGATAAGAACTGGGACAGAGACAGTCTTATAACTGGGACGGAGACAGTCTAATAACTGGGACAGAGACAGTCTAAGAACTGGGACAGAGA